GGTGGCAACTTCTCAATCACCTCAACCTTAGCATGGTCAACTTCAATACCCTTACTGGACACTCGATGCCCCCAACACTATTCCTTCTTGTACCATAAAATGGTACTTCTCCCAGTTCAGCACTAAATTTGTCTCCACACATCTTTTTAACACTCTTCTTAAATTGTGCAGACAGTCTTCGAACGAATCCCCTACCACAAAGAAATCATCCATAAAGACTTCCATAATATCTTCAACCATGTCAGTGAAAATGGCTCACATACACCTCTGAAAGGTGGCCGGTGCATTGCATAAGCCAAACGGCATTCTCCGAAAGGCAAAGATGCCATACGGACAAGTGAATGATGTCTTCTTTCTATCCTCAGGGGCTATGGAAATCTGATTATACCCCGAATACCCATCCAAAAAGTAGCAATGAGACCTCCCTGCCAGTCTATCCAACATTTGGTCAATGAATGGTAAAGGAAAATGGTCTTTCCGGGTGGTTGTGTTCAGTTTTCTATAATCCATACAAATTTGCCAACCCATAACTGTACGAGTTGAGATCAGCTCATTATTCTCATTGGGCACTACAGTCATTCTACCCTTCTTTGGCACACATTGAACTGGGTTAACCTAGTTACTGTCAGATATTGGGAAGATGATTCCCGCATCTAACCACTTGATCACTTCTTTTTTTACCACTTCTTTCATGTTGGGGTTTAGCCTTCTTTGATGTTCTTTGGAAGGTTTGTGCCCATCTTCCAGTAGAATCTTATGCGTATAAAATGTCGGGCTGATCCCCCTAATATCTGCAATGGTCCAGCCAATTGTAGTCTTGCATTCCATTAACACATGCAAAAGTTGTTCTGCCTGCACATCTAACAAACTAGATGAGATAATAATAGGTAAAGTGGATTTAGGTCCCAAGAAAGCCTACCTGAGGTGAGATGGTAACGATTTTAGTTCCAACTGTGGTGGATCTTCAATTGACGGCTTAGCTGGAGGTGTTTTTCTTTCTTCTAAGTGTAAGGGCTCGAATTCGAGCTCTCTTTTCGAGTACCCTCGCCCTTCAAGGGCCAAAACCCACTCTGCCAAGTTTTCACCATTCATTTCTTCTAAGTTCATGAGGCATGCTGCTAGAGGGTCTTTTGTATTCAGAGTCTCATCTTCCTTCTCCAAGATCATATCCACAGTTTCTATCAGAGAGCAGTTAGCAAACTCACTGGGTCACCGCATAGATTTCTGCACGTTAAACGTTATCTCTTCATCGTTCAATCTCATCTTTAGCTCTCAAGTTTCACAATCAATTAGGGTTCTCCCAGTGGCCAAGAATGGCCTTGCCAAAATTATGGGAATCTCCTCGTCAACCTGGCAGTCTAAAATGACAAAATTTGCTGGGAAAACAAACTTCCCCACCTGTACTAATACATCATCAAGGATACCAAAGGGCCTCTTCACTGTCCGGTCGGCCAACTATAATAACATAGACGTGGGTCTAGCTCTTCCAATGCCTAACCTTTTGTAGATAGTCAAGGGAATCAAGTTTATGCTTGCCCCCAAATCACAAAGTGCCTTAGCAAATGCATAGTTGCCTATTGTGCATGGGATTGTGAAAATCCCTAGATCAGATAACTTCTCAGGTATGGGTCTTGTCACAATAGTACTACATGTCAGAGTCAGTGTAATCGTGGCCAAGTCTTGAAAGTCGAACTTACGAGACATCAAGTCCTTCATAATATTTGCATAACTAGGCATTTTCTTTAAGGCATCAATCAATGGAATGTTTACCTGAATTTGCTTCAACATCTCCAAGAATTTCTTATATTGCTCATCTTTTTGATATTTGGCCAATCTTTGAGGGAAGGGTACTGGAGGCCACTTCTTTCCTGTGATTTGATTTTGAACCTGCTCTGGCACTATTTCTGCTGCCTTCTCTTGCTCTGACTCAGTTTCCTTTGCGACTTCTTTTCTTTGCTTGTTTCAGCTGGCGCATATTGTACCGTCACCTCTGTTAACCCTGTTGAGTCATCTATCTCGATGGGTACTGGCACAAGTATTTCAGTAGGCCGGATTTTGTGAGCCATCTCTTGCTCCAGATATAGGTCTCTACCATTTCGTAGACTCACTGCCATAAGCTGTTTCGGGACCTGTTATTTTGGATTAACTTGTGTATCTGCAGGTAGTGTCCCTTGGGGACGATTGTTTAAGGCCATAGAAATCTGTCCTAATTGAATCTCAATACCCTTTATTGCTGATTCATGCGAGTCTACCCTCTATTGCATTTTTCCCGTGGACCCAATCAATTGTTGCAGCATTCTGTTGTTGCTGTCCAGCATTCCCTCAAGTTTAATAAACCCATCATCTGGTTTCATAATCTGTTGTTTTTGAGGTTATTGATAAGTCAGCTGCTGATTTTGCTGGATGTAGCCCTGTTGCCTTTGGTAAGGCGCAACTTGACCCATTGGTCGCATAACTCCAGGATTATTGTTGTTATTATACTGCTGCTGCGCTGGTCTATATTGTTGATTATGTTGACCCCAATTCAGACCACCTTGCCTCTGACCCCCATAGTTGGCTACATAATTCATGTCTTCATGATATTACTGGTTTTCACCTTCCGCACTCCACGAGCAAACATATGGTTGATTAATGCATGGTGTACATAAGTCCCCATTAGTTGTGTCAACTATGTGAACCTGCTTCTTCTGGCCTGATTCATCAATCTTTTTGGTAAGGATACTCATTTGTGTCATTAGAGTGGCCACATCCTCAGCTATGGAGTTGTTTGGGTCCAACGCCACTGAGTGAACTACCAGAGTGATCGTGGATGCTCTTGTCATCCATCCTGAGTTTTGTGCCATCTTATCAAGTAGGATCTTGCATTCTGCGAATGTTTTACTCAGAAATGCTCCATCTGCTGAAGCATCAACATTGGCCTTTAAGTTGTTAGCCAGTCCCATGTAGAATCTCTGTCCCAACATCTGATCTGGAATACCATGATGTGGACACTTAACCAGCATGCCATTGAACCTCTTCTACGTTTCTTGTAGTGATTCAGTTGGTCTCTGCTTGTAGCTCAATATATCATCAATCTGTTGGGCAGTTTTATTTGGTGGGTAGAATTTGTTCAAAAATTACTTGACTAATTCCTCCCAAGTAGTGATGGAATTTATGGGGAGTGAATTAAGCCAAGTCTGAGCTTCTCCTGTTAGCGAAAATGGGAATAACGAAATCTTTATTGTGTCCGGTGTTATGTTAGGTTGCCTTTGCGTTAAACATATTGACAGAAAATTCTTCAGGTGCTGCTGAGGATCTTCAATGTGTGACCCTGAGAACAGTCCCTTGTTCTGCAACAAATGTATCATGTTATTTGTGATTTGGAATGATTCTGCTTGTATCTGAGGGACTGCACTTGCGGTTTTCAGATTATCGGCAGTGGGTTGTGCCCAATCATATAATGTTGTTTCTGGTACAAGAGGCACCATACCCCGCATGCTTGGTTCATTCTCATTGTTTCTGTTGTTTATTGAATTTTCTATTCCGTCAGCCATGTTTGGTTCGATTTGTTCTCTCGAGTTTCGTTGTTGTTTGCTTCTCTTGTTTGCACGATTTAGTGCTTTGAAAACTTTCTCATGATCTGATATCGCTTCAAGCAATTCACCAGTTCTTGAGGAATTTCTAGGCATGCACTTGTAACACCCAAGACTACAAATATTAAAATTTTAATGTATTTAGTTTAGAATGGAGAAAATTGACTACACTAAGAATTCTAACACTTCTTTTAGCTGCAATTAATAACACCGTCGTTAATTCCCTTGTTAAGAACTTTGCTCACTTGTACTGTCCTTCATTCACGATTGGGCTCGAACCGAGTGTCCAATAGATGACGAGGTCGCTGTTCAATCTAAGATCAGGCTTGGTCATAATATTGCGATTGGTTTGATCGTTTATTTCATCTTTAATTCATTTATCTGTTATTCTTAATTTTTCGTGTTGAATTAAATTACGTATTATTTAAACCACATACAAATTTAATTATTACCTAATTTTGGGATAAAAACCTTCCAAAGTTCCTCATTGAGTAAGTGGCAAGACCTTTATATGCCAATAACGATAGCATACAAATTGAAGTTTAGTAGTTTGATTAACTATTATAACCAGAGCTGATCTAAGATTCAAACTTGATAAATTCAAGCACTAACGTATTTCCTATTAATGAGGTTGCCTCACTTTTGACATTATGAATTCATAATTAATATTTGTTTAATTTTTAGTGATTGATAATTAATATATGAGTGGGTAAACTTTAGTTTACAAGGGTAAAGAAACGGATAATATTTTGTTAGAGGCCTTCTTTATTTTAGTATTTTTCACGCAACTGCAACCTGCCGGCTTAGCTGTATACCGTACGATCAATCGATGGAATATGATAATCCCACTAAATGATTTCCCATACCCGTCAAACACCAAAAATAAAACAACATTAATACCAAACGGGAAAAACTACAAATGGTTAATTGTTTAATGTTCATTAAGTCTTCACTTTGGTCATCATGTATTTTAAATATTCTCAACTTTCTAGAAATTACCATATTTTATTTTTGACAAGGTAGAATGTCATTTGACAAGTAATCATGCATTATACCAGTTCTAAAAGAGAAATGGTCTCATATGACCAATTATAGTTGGAACATATGAAAATGACACCACAAAAATTTCTAGTATTCAAAATTTTCCGATTTTTTTAATTTCTTTGTAACAATCGATCTCTTGTGAAAAACATTATGTAACTAAAAGTACATTTGTGATAGGCTGTATATAGCAGATCTCTCCACTCTAGAACCATCTTCATGTTCTGTACAAAGTTAGATGATATCGACTTGTATATGAAATTATTGAAGTAATCCAAGTTAATTATACTTTTTCTTGTTTCCTTGGTTTATACAAAGTTTGTCATACATATATACAGAGTTATGGCTGCCATAGTATAAATAATAAGGGAAGGAATCAAAGGGATTTCCATGATTATTAATGGAGAGAGACCAGAAAATTCCAACTGTATTACTCTTTCCATGGTTAGCACAAGGCCATGTGACACCTTATTTGGTGTTAGCCAAGAAATTAGCACAAAGAAACTTTCACATATATTTTCTTTCTACCCCCATAATTCTTGAATCCATTGAAAAAAACTTAGCCAAACAACCCTCAAATTTATGTATACAATTAGTGGAATTTCATTTACCATCTTCCCTGGATCTTCCTCCTCATTATCACACAACCAATGGCCTACCTCCTCATCTTAACTTCACACTTATCCAAACTTTTCAAATGGCTTCCTCAAATTTTTCCACCATTGTTGACACTCTAAACCCTAATTTTATCATATATGATAGCTTCCAACCATGGGTTGCAACCATAGCTTCTTCACGTAATATTCCTGCTATTCATTTATACACTTCGGGTATAGCTACTTTTTCAAAATTCTATCATATTCTCCAAGAAAATATTAGGGCAATTAATTGTGAGATTAATGAAATTGCTGCCCAGGATTTAGGTGAAATAGATAGGCAGAAAGCTTTAGGAGGGATAGCCCTAAAAGCCTTTGAACAATCTAATGACATTGTTTTGGTCAATAGTTGTAAGGAGATTGAAGGAAAGTACATTGATCATCTTTCTCAATTGTCCAAAAAGGAGATAATACCAATTGGTCCACTTATTCGCGACGCGATCAATGAAGAGGAAGGCTTAGAGATCATACAATGGTTAGATAAGAAAGATGAATCTTCATGTGTTTTTGTTTCTTTTGGAAGTGAATATTTCTTGTCAAAGAAAGATATTGAAGAGATAGCTAAACGGCTTGAGCTAAGCCTAGTAAACTTCATTTGGACTATAAAATTTCCTGCAGGTCTCACTACCACAATTGAACAAGTTTTGCCACAAGGTTTTCTTGAAAAATCAGAGAAAGGGATGGTTCTAAAGGGATGGGTACCACAAGATTAATGGAAGAACTTGGCCTTGGTTTGGAGATTTTGAAAGATGAAAATGGAGAGATTAAAAGAGAGGAGGTGGCTAGAGGAATAAGGAAGGTGATGGAAAATATTGGAGAAGTCAAGAATAATGTAAGAGAAATGAAGGAGAAGATTAGAATGAAAGGTGAGAAAGAGATAGATGAATTGGCTAGAAATATTAAAGCCATTTTGAAGTAGTGATTGGCCATTCATGGCTTAGACTTTGCTACAAGCTTATTGCAATCGCATAAAGAAATATTTTTATGATTGTATCGTGTTTCAGAAAGTAATTTCCACGTCAGCAAGTTAAGCTTCAAAGGATTACGTATTTAGGGAAAGTCAGTCGTGTATTTAGGAATTCAAACTATGTATTATCTATAATATTCCTAACAGAGCTTCACTTCCCTAATATAAATTGGACTAGTCTTCATTGTAACACCAAAAGTCATCTCTTTATCGTAGTAGATTTGATCATAATAACCTTTTTTAATAACGTCGCCAGTTTGCGCGTACGTCGACTAGGTCTATGAAATATCTGCTATCTCCCTCAACTGACTATATATATATATATATATATATTAGCTAGATACTATATTTAATATCTTAGCGATCATGTATTTTTTTCTGATAATGACAAATTTAAATTTAGTATGTCCCTCCCAAATACTTTTCTATTGCATGTGTCATTTTTTAATCTCTGATTTGCTACCTGATGATATTATCTTTTCATTTAATTAGTGCATCACATCAATATAGTTAGCCTATATCTGTGGAGCTTTTCTTCTTGTACAGTACAGCATGTTTTAGCGTTTCGCAGTAGACTTAGCACGTTAAATCTGTCAAAGTCGAAAAGATCCATATCTAATTTGTCAAACCTTTTCTTCTCCAAATTTACCATGTGGCCATGTTAACACGAAAAACATACTCTTAATGAAGATTTTAAATGACCATTTTTCTTTTGTATTAATTGACTTCTACAAATCGATGGTGTGAAAAAAATCAAGTGAACTTATAGCACATGAAAATCTGAAATTTCAGTTTTTTGGCCTTAAAATGTCAAAAAATGAGGAACGATCACGGCGAAGCGATGACTATTGTTCCTTAGGTCATTTTTTATGGGCCGGCAAAATTTTAGGCGATTCGGGTTCGGTCGCCCAGATGCATGCAGATGGAGTAGGCTATAGCACACGAAAATCTAGAATCGGGCAGAATTTTAGTTTTTTGGCCCTAAAATGCCAAAAAACGAGAAACGATCATGGCGAAGCGATGACTATTATTCCTTAGGTATTTATTGATGGACCAACAAAATTTTAGGAGACTCAGGTCCGGTGGCCCGGATGCATGCAGATGCACATGAAAATCTGGGAATCGGACGAAATTTTAGTTTTTTGGCCCTAAAATGCCAAAATCTTTGCATGCATGCAGATGCACATGCATGCAAATGGTGTGGGCTATAGCATATGAAAATCTAAGAATCAGGCTAAATTTCAATTTTTTGGCCCTAATATGCCAAAAATGAGGAACAGTCATGGAGAAGTGATGACTATTGTTCCTTAGATCGTTTTTGATAGGCCGCCAAAATTTTAGGCAATTCGGGTCCGGTGGCCCGGATGCATGCAGATGGAGTGGGCTATACCACACAAAAATCTGAAAATCGTGCGGAATTCAAGTTTTTTCGCCCTAAAGCGCCAAAAATTAAGGTAACGGTCGTGGCAAAGCGATGACTATATTTCATTGAGTCATTTTTTATGGCTGCAAAATTTTAGGCGGCTTGGGTCCTGTCCCCCCGAAGCATGCAGATGGCGTAGGCTATAGCAAACGAAAATCTAGAAATTGGGCGAAATTTTAATTTTTTAGCCCTGAAATGCCAAAAAAGAGGAACGGTCATGCCGAAGTGATAACTATTATTCCTTGGGTCGTTTTGATAGGTCGAAAAAATTTTCGGTGATTCGGGTCCGGTCGCCTAGATGCATATAGATGGAACGGACTATACACAAATATTTAGGAAACGCGCGAAATTCTAGTTTTTTGCCCTAAGAATCCAAAAAACCGAGGAACGGTCCTGATGAAGCGATGGCTATTGTTTCTTACATCATTTTTTATTGGCCGTCAAAATTTTAGGCGATTCGGGTCCAATCGCCCGGATATATGCAGATGGCGTGGGATATAGCACACAAAAATCTAGGAATCGGGCGAAATTCCTATTGTTTGGCCCTAAAACGCCAAAACATTACGAACATTTATGGCGAAGTGTCCCTAGGTCATTTTATTAAGGGTCGACAAAATTTTAGGCGATTCGGGTCCGGTCGCCTGGCTGCATGCAGATGGCGTGGGCTATAACACACGAAAATTTAGAAATCGGGCATAAATTCTAGTATATTGGCCCTGAAACGCCAAAAAATGATGAACGGTCATGGAGAAGCGATAACTATAGTTCCTTAGGTCGCTTTTGATGGGCCGATAAAATTTTAGATGATTCGTGTCCTATCATGGATGCATGCAGATGGCGTGGGTTATAACATACGAAAATCTAGGAATCACGTGGAATTCCAATTTTCTAACCCTAAAACGCCAAAAAACGAGGAATGATCATGGAAAAACGATGACTATTATTCCTTAGGTTATTTTTTATGGGCCAACAAAAATTTTAGGCAATTCGGATTCGGTCGCTCAGATGCATGCAAATGGCGTGGGTTATAGCACACGAAAATATGAGAATTGGGTAGGATTTTAGATTTTTTGCCCTAAAATACCAAAAAACTAAGAACAATCATGGAGGAACGATGATTATTATTCTTAGGTCATTTTTGATGGGCTGGTAGAATTTTAGGTGATTCGGGTACAGTCACCCGGATGTATGTAAATGGTGTGGGCTCTAGGACACGAAAATCCAAAAATCGGACGGAATTCTAGTTTTTTTGCCCTGAAACGCCAAAAATGAGGAACGGTCATGACAAAGCGATGACTATTGTTCCTTAGTTTATTTTTTATGGGCCGGCAATTTTTTTGGGAATTCAGGTCCGGTCCCCCGGATGCATGCCTATGGCATGGGTTATAACACACGAATATCTAGGAATTGCGCGGAATTCCAGTTTTTGGGCCCTAAAATGCCAAAAAATAGGAAACGGTCATGGCAGAGCAATGACTATTGTTCCTTAAGTTATGTTTTATGTGCTGGCAAAATATTAGGTGATTCGGGTTCGGTCTCCCAGATGCATGCAGATGGCGTGGGGTATAGCACAAAAAATCTAGAAATCGGGCGGAATTCTAATTATTTGGCCCTAAAACGCCAAACAATATGGAACGGTCATGGCGAAATGATGACTATTGTTCCTTAAGTTATTTTTTATGGGTCGATAAAATTTTAAGACGATTCGGGTCCGGTCTCTTGGATGCATGTAGATGATGTGGGCTATCGCACAAAAACAATTGGAATCAAACGGATCTTTAGTGTTTTGGCCCTCAAATGCCAAAAAATGAGGAACGGTCATTGCGGAGAAATAAAGTTGTTCCTTAGGTGATTCTTTATGGGCCGGTAAAATTATAGGCGATACGGGTCCAGTCGCCCGGCTGCATGCAGATGTTGTGGGCTACAACACACAAAAATCTAAAAATCTGGTGTAATTCTTATTTTTTGGCCGTAAAACACCAAAAAACGAGGAACAACATGGCGAAGCGATGACTATTATACCTTAAGTCATTTTTTATTGTCCAAAAAATTTTTAGGTGATTCGAATGTGGTCGCCCAGATCCATGCAGATGGCGTGGGCTATACGAAAATCTGGAAATTTGGCGGAATTCATATTTTTTATCCCTAAAATTCCAAAAAATAAGGAATGGTCATGGCGAAGTGATGACTATTGTTCTTTAGGTCATTTTTTATGGGTCAACAATATTTTAGGCGATTCATGTCCGGTCGTCCGGATGCATGCACGTAACGTGGGCTATAAGCACACGAAAATCTGAGAATCACGCAGAATTCTAGTGTTTTGGCCCTAAAATGCCAAAACAACCAGGAAAGGCCAAGACGAAGCGATGATTATTGTTCCTTAGGTCGTTTTTTATGGGCCAAGCAAAACTTTAGGCGATTAGGGTATCCGGTCGCCCGAAAGCATGCAAATGGCGTAGGCTATAGCTAGGGGTGGCAAGTGGGCCGGGCCCGGTCCTAAGTGGGCTTCGCAGGCCCGGTCCTAAGTGGGCCAGTCCTATGCGGTCCGGTCCTAAACGGTCCTGGGCTTCGCGGGCTTATTGCTGGAACCGGCTTGGGACCGTGACCACGAACTAACGGTCTCGGGTTAAGTGGGCCGGTCCCGGGCCTAAACGGGCCCAACAGAAACTTTTATTTTTAATTTTTTTTTTTTATAGAAGTTAGAGAAAAAAAATAGTAATAAAGATATATAAGCTATATTCGATTTATATATACATCTTAAAATATATATATATATATATACACTATATTATATATACATAGTATACATCTTAAAATATACTATATATACATCTTAAGATATACTATATATATATAGTATAGTATAGTAGATCTTAAGATATATATACATCTTAAGATATATAAGCTATATATATATATATATATATAGTAAAATGTATATATAGTATATCTTAAGATGTATACTATCGAATATGACTTATAAACTATGTATATATATTATAGTATATATATAGTATATCTTAAGATGTATATATAGTATAGTATATATAGTATATCTTAAGATGTATATATAGTATATATAGTATATCTTAAGATGTATATATAGTATATCGAATATAGTTTATATATCTTAAGTTGTATATATAGTATATATATACTATGCTATACTATACTATAGTGTATAAGCCGTATTCGATAGTATATATATAGGCTTATATATATATGTATATCGAATATAGCTTATATATCTTATGAGATGTATATATAGTATAGACTATAATATAAGCTTATATATATATATACACACTATATTATACTATATGTATAGCTTAAGATATATAAAAGAACAAAAATATTGTAAAGAGATTCAAATCAATGCGTTATATTTTTATTATAGCATTAAAAATCA